AAACATGCAGGCAAGACTCCATTTTCCCCATGCAGTTTTCTTGAGTCTTGGAGGAGGAGCTTACAGTGAATCGTAGGTTTCTCTTGTTCCTTGCTGCCTGTCTATAAGTAATAAACTTGTCGCATGTGAGTGTGTTCTGTTTCACCAGACTCAGGTGTTGGTAACACTGCAGTCCAAGATGCAGTGGTAGGAGTGCCTGGACTCCCATTCCTGGTGGTTGATGCAGTGATGGTCTCCATTGCCCTCCATGCAGTGGGAAGCCTCCCTGGGGCTGGTTGTTAGTGAACCTGCCTCCTGGTCGTATCCTTCCCAGTGCTTAGCGTTGCCCGGCTTTCCCACCAATCTGGCAGGTGCAAATAGCCTGTCATTGTTATTTTAAACTTCCCTGAGATTTATACAGCTATTTTCTTTGAGATCCTGGGCCTGGATTAAGTGGGAAGATGGTGTCTGGAGGCTGAGGGTGGACACTGAAGGTGCCCTCACTGGTCTTGTTTGACCCTAGGCTTGTCCAGGTTCAGATAGTTGAGGAGGTATGCAGGGGCCTCCTATCTGCTTTAAGTAAATCTGTGTTTCAGAAGGTGAACTCCAGAAGGTTTTTTCAGTCTTCTTCACCTGTCTTATCGCTAGTGGAGTGTCCTCTCAGATTTAAGCAGAAAGTTTTCTGTCCATCTGAGTTATCTGTGTGTCTGTGAGCAATGCTGTGGCTTCAGGGTTGCATTAGTGAAAATATGTGATTGGGGTGGAGAGGGTACTATTAATTGCCATTTAAAACTGGAAATGTCATTTAGAAATATTTGAATTTTTAGCCGAATGCAGTGGCTCAAGCCTATAATCCCAGCACTTTGGGATGCTAAGGCAGGCAGATCTCAAGGTCAAGAGTTCAAGACCAGCCTGGCTAATATGGTGAAACCCCATCTCCACTAAAAACACAAAAATTAGCCAGGAGTGGTGGCAGGTGCCTATAGTCCCAGCTACTCAGGAGGCTGAGACAGGAGAATCGCTTGAACCTGGGTGGTGGAGGTTGGAGTGAGCCGAGATTATGCCAATGGATTCCAATAGACAGAGCAAGATTCCATCTCAAAAAAAAAAAAAAGAACTATTGGAATTTTTTAAAAAGTCCAAACCGCACCTATCACCTTTGTGTACCTGTTCTTTGTGTTTTAAATATGCGTCTCATAGACACACTCCTGCTTACTTAAGTCCTGAAGGTTTTCAACTTTCCTTTCAACCTTCATGTGACGGTTAATTTTATGTGTCAGCTTGGCTGGGCCAGATAGTTGGTTCAACATTATTCTGGGTGTTTCTGTAAGGTCATGGGTGGGGTTTGGATGAGATGAACATTTAACTTAGTAAACTGAATAAAGCAGATTGTCTTCCATAATGTGGGTGGACTTCATGCCATCAGTTGAAGGCTGAACCAAAGGCTGATTCAAGTAAGAGAAAATTCTCCTGCCTGCGAGCCTTCGAAATAGGACAGAACATTGGCTTTGCAGATTTTAGACTTGCTAGTCTCCATAATTCCATGAGCCAATTTCTTATAATAACTCAGTCTCTTTCTCACTCTCTCTCTCTCAGTAGAGAGCTAGATGATAGATAGATAGATGATAAATAGATAGATAGATAGATAGATAGATAGATAGATAGATGATAGATAGATAGATAGATAGTTAGATAGACAGACAGATAGATGATAGCTATATTAGATATTTCTTGTTTCTGTTTCTCTGGGGAACCCTGACAAATACAATGGGAAAAAAAAAAACAGAAAAGACCCAGAAATTTGGCCGACAGGGCACTGTCAGGTGGCCTAGGTGTTGCAGGGCCCCTCAACCAACCCTGCCGATGTGCCTGGCACAGGTGAGCATACTCCTTGGCTCCTCTCTGCTTCCATTTTCTTATCCCATTAACCAGTGGTTGGACTGGATGATCCCTGCAGGCCCTTTCAATTCTGATATTCCAGGTTCCTTGAGATGCTGTGTTACTGAGGAACACAGCCAAGCATCTACACCATTTCCACCTTCTGAATTGACATGGGCAATGTCCACTCCAGCACTCACACCAAAAAAAAAGAAAAAAAAAAAAAAAAAGATGCAGATGTTGGCCAGGATGTGGGGAAATAGGCAGGAGAAGGCTTACAAGCAGAGGGAACAGCATGATCAAAGGCACAGAGATGGGAAATTGCTTGTTGGAATCAAGGAAAGGAGTGGTCTGGGGGTGGCAGAATCCCGAGGTGTGTAAAGGGAGGAATTTTAAGGTATGCACAGCCCTTTGTGGTTTCCAAAGCCCTTTCACACTCTCTTCATAACTGTACCATGAGATCAATATTTTTTATGCGTATTTTACAGAAAAAGAAACTGAGACTCAGAGAGCAGAAGCTACTTTTCTAGGGTCATATGGCTGGGGATCAGCAGGGCTGAGATTTGAACTCAAATTTATCTGTGCTCTTCCTAATACCACAGAGCCTTAGAGGCTGTCTGACTGAACATACCTAAACCCCTATTTTGCATTTTCCTAATGAGAAAGGAGTGAGCAATTTGTTAGACTAGCCATACAGTTGTTCTGATTCCACTGTCAAAGTGGGGTAGAAACAAATCCATCATCGCTTCATCCAAGGTGTTTTTATTTTTATTCCCACTCCTGCAAGCCCCCTGGAGAGGCTGGCGAGGGAGGCATATTTTGATTCTAACCATGCTGTGTACATCCGTGCCCGCCTGCATGTGCAAGAGGTGAAGGAGAGATTATAACTTTATTCTCGCTTGGGGGCAACTAGTTATGTCTGGAAACATTCGAACATCCCATAAAGCTCATTTCTTTTGCAAATGAGTCAGATAACACAGAACACTTCAAAGTGGAATTCCGTTGGGCTTTCCATCTGGCTGGCCTCTGGGGGAATGTGCGGTGCACTGCCTTTGTTAATCAGGTTCTGGGAGTTTGAATTTTATGCTGAAATACAAATAACTGTGCGTTCGTGGGGAACAAAGCCAAGATATGATCTCAACTGCATTTGGACTGAAATTCCCATCTCCTGCTAATATTCTCCACCTTAACTGCATTTGGACTGAAATTCCCATCTCTTGCTAAATGCTCTCTACCTTCCACATGGAGAGCAACAAACACTTTCTTGCTCCAAGCAGCTGTGCACTTTTATCTCCTGCACCTAGGAAGGCAGGCATGGTTGGGGCATGGCTGGCTCACCTTGTGGCTGATTGCTGTTGTCTGTATGAGCCTCACTTTCCTGTCTGCATGCACTCTATAGGCTCCCATGGTCTCCAGAACCTAATTCCCTGGACAGTCCTGTGAACTGGCATGCTCTATCCACCCACCTCTGGTTGGAGAGGCTGGGCAGCTTAAGATGACATTTCCCAAACACCCTGTGGTGAGAATCGTGGATGGGAAGTGAGTACCATCCACTGGGTATACTCGGATGAGTTCTGCAAATCAGAAATGAGGAAGCCCCACTTTTCTGACCCCTGCTTGCTGTTCTTTCAGCGAGCACGGCCACAGAACAAGGTTTCCCTGCAGTAGGGTTCCCTGTCCATTTTCTAGCTTCCGGCACCCAGAGCCTTTTGCAGGAGCAGCTGCAACCGCAGCAGCTCTAGCCTTTGTATTCCAGCAGAGCCCCAGTGGCTTCTCAGAGGCATTAGCAACTCCACTGGGTCATTTTTGTGTAGTCCCGAGAGCTCTTCCTGGAGCCTAATTCTTTAACCATGACTGGGCATGCCCTGGTTAAATCCTTTCCTGACTAAGGGGCCAGTGGGATTTGTGCTCCTTGCACTGAACCTGCTTGATACACCCCTAGCCTGCCCTTGATAAGAAATACAGTTGCCCCTCTGTATCCATGCATTCTGCATCCGTGGATTCAATCAACTACAGATAGAAAATATTTGGGAAGAAAAAGAATGGTTATGTCTATGCTGAACACATACAGACTTTTTTTATACTCATGATTCCCTAAACAATGTGGTATAACAACTATTTACATCTCATTTACATTGTATTAGGCATTTAAAAGTAATATAGAGAAGATTTAAAGCATTGGGGAGGATGTACAAAGGTTGTATGCAAATACTCTGCTTTTCGATATCAAGGGCTGGAGTGTTGTCTGTGAATTTTGGTATTTGTGAGTGGTATTGGTTCTCCTGGAACCAATCCCCCAGAGACCCAGGGAGAGCTGTGCTGCTCAGGATGTTTGCATCTGGGGTGGAGATGGGCAGTTTACATGTCATTGCCTGCTATTTCTGGTTCCAAAGTTCCATAGTAGCTTCTACTCTGCCAGCTTTGGTTGCCTCTTCACTATGTGTGTTAGGGTTCTTCTGAGAAACACAGCCAGTGTGTGTGTGTGTGTGTGTGTGTGTGTGTGTGTAGAGGGAGAGAGATTCATTTAAGAAATTGACTCACTCAAGTGTGTCCCTTCCCTCCCAGCTCCTGTGAATCCTCCTCCAGCTTGGGCTCTGCCCTTGACTAGCTGAGGCCTCCATGCAGTGGCTCACCATAGAGGCACAGGTCTCCATGTCTCTGGATCCATGGGGTTTCCTTGATTGGCTCTGTCCCTGTGGATTCCTGGGGAGTCATGGCATCCTCTTTGCTTCCATTGCCCTCAGTTCTGCAGCAGAATGGTGGGTGCAGACAGGCTCCCACCAGGACCCAGGGGCTTTTCAGGGGATCCTACACCTGAGACCCTCCAAAAGCTTGGATTCTGGAGACCAGCTTCAAGATGAGGCTCATGCCCACCAGAAGCTCTCCTCGCATGGCCAGCCTGGGCTCCCACAGCAGGTTCTGGAGCCCTCTAATACATCCCTGCCTTCCTCTTCTGCTCAGCAGCACCCACAGGGAAGACATGAGAGTCCCTAGCTCCTGTGAGCTAAGCCTGAGCTTCTGGGGGAACTCCAGCAGCCCCCTCCAGGGTAGCTCAACCAGCAGTCTCTGCTCAGTCCCCTTCAGGACAGCCCCTGGCAGCTCCCCTGGGCTTTCATTGGCTGAGGTTTCTTTCTCCTTTGCAGTGCTGGGCAGGACTCTGGGCTGCTCACCACCCCTGGGAAGGGAGCAAGGGTGTGACCAAGGTGTCTATGGAATGGGGCTCCAGGAGAGGGCCCACCACAGGTGAGAGCTGAAGTCACAGCCAGGGGCGCCATCAGAAGGCTGGACCCCTAGGGTGGGCTGGGCAGAGGGCTGCTCTCCCCTCTGCTCTTGACGTCATGCAGTCCTGCACTCACTCTATCCCTGGCATATCTTTTTATTCTGGTCTCAACAGCTCTCATGGTTGCACGTTGACTTCCCAGCTGACACTATTGTCGGGTATACAAAGGAGAGCCTGGCCTCATACCACTCACTGCACTTCGCTCAGCACCATCAACACAGACTCTCAGAGAGGAAGAAGGACCCTGCTACCGTCCACAGCACCTTGGGGGCTTTTTCCAGGTGTCTCCTCCCTACTGCTCCTACCCCGAGTCAGTCTTGGGGTTTCCAGGGAGCGGGAAGCACACAGCACAAGGACAGAATGAGTGAAGCAGATGAAAGCCACTTGTATAGCCCTTGGCACTGTAGGTGCTCAGCACTGAACGGGCAGAGGCTGGGAGGCAGAGAGAGAACCACACCATGCACCCAGCTCCCCACCTCCCAGGCCAGGGCTCCGCTTTCTGTTGGGCCCTGTGTGCATTGCTAATGTCAGCATTTGCCCAGTGGTGGACTGTGGATATCACCTCAAACATACCTCTGACCCTAGGTACGTGGCATCCCCCTACCCATGGTAAGTATCTTCTTGGTCCATTTCTTGGCCCAAGGAGTCTCCTTATTCCTTAGCACCTCAATGGCCCAAGGTTCTAGACTTACGCAGACAGCACAGTACAGCCTCCCCTTCATCAGCTCTGTGCTACTTCCAGCCCTGGCCTGTCTTGAGGCTTCAAGAGGAAACCCTGGGAGGTCCCATGGTGGGAAAGGGAGAGGAATGGGCCAGGCCAAACCCTGGCCTTCCACCTTACTTTGCTTCTGCCCAGCGTGGGACCTCAGGCAGATCACAGGTCAAGCCTCAGTGTCTCTCTCCCACCAGAGAGGTTATGGGTCTCAAATGCCAGCCTCTGAGGCATTTGGTCCCCTTACCTCCTGGGCACAAAGAGAAAACTCACCCGAGCCCTCAGGAGTCCTGCTTGCATTTACACACCGAGCTAGTCTGTGATGCCTCCCCTTAGTATGGCTTTGTTCACTGTCCCTCCACTTGTCACAGCGCCACTTAGCGTGCTCTGTCTAGACTGCCTCACAAGGCTGGGCACGGTGGCTTACACCTGTAATCCCAGCATTTTGAAAGGCTGAGGTGGGTGGATCACTTGAGGCCAGGAGTTTGAGGCTAGCCTGGCCAACATGGTGAAACCCCATCTCTACTAAAAATACAAAAAATAGCTGGGTGTTGTGGCACATGCCTATAATTCCAGCTACTTGGGAGGCTGAGGCAAGAGAATCACTGGAACCCAGGAGGTGGGGTTTGCAGTGAGCTGAGATTGTGCCACTGCACAAGAGTGTGACAGTGTGAGACTGTTGCAAAAAAATTTTTGTAATAAAAATAAAAAACTGAATCACAAAAACTGAGAGCCCAGGACAGGGAAGGTGTAGTTGAGCAGATGCCCTGTGGAAACGCCACAGGTGTGACTCAGCCGTGGACACAGTGAAAGTGGGTGCTACCCACAACCATTCCCAAAGCTTGAATCTATAAACCCCGGACTCCTGAGCCACCAATTTGAACATCCACGTATTTATGTCAAAGCGTCCTTCCCTTTTCCGGTTGAGCTACAACACAAATTCAAGACTCCTGGCCATTTCCATACACCCTCTGCTTCGGAGACATTATTAAGCTACTTATAATTAGGAATAATAACGCCTGCAGATGCATTTTAATGTAGCCCACAAAAGGAGCTGTGTGGGTTTCTTTGTCACCCCACACTAAAGCAAACAACTCTTCCCCTGTTGCCTAGATCCAACTGCTTCACTTTCCAATAGCTGCTCGACAGATGAGGGACCTGCTGACAGGCAGGTCAGAGTGAGCTGAACAACTCCCAGGCACAAAGGACAAAAGCATCCGAAACGTGGAGGGACTCACTGGAGGTCCCCGGCAGCTGGCTGAATTGTCTGGCTCTACACGGTGGGGAAACTGAGAAAGGAAGCTGTCTCCTTTTGAGTCTGGACACTGGAACTTTCCTGGCCCCCAAATCATCTTTTTTCTTTTTCTTTCTTTTTAAACTTATTTTTTACTTTAAGTACTGGGATACCTGTGCTGAACGTGCAGGTTACATAGGTATACATGTGCCATGGTGGTTTGCTGTACCCATCAACCCATCATCTAGCTTTTAAGCCCCACATGCATTAAGTATTTGTCCTAATGTTCTCCCTCCCCTTCTCCCCAGGCCCCTGACAGGCCCCTCCCTGTGTCCGTGTGTTCTCATTGTTCAATTCCCACTTATGAGTGAGAACATGCAGTGTTTGGTTTTCTGTTCCTGTGTTAGTTTGCTGAGGATGATGGTTTTCAGCTTCATCTATGTTTGTGCAAAGGACCTGAACTCATTCTTTTTTATGGTTGCATAGTATTCCATGGTGTACGTGTGCCACATTTTCTTTATCCAGGATTATAAGTCATTCTACTATAAGGACACATGTATATATATGTTGACTGCAGCCCTTTTGGTTTTTCAGTCAGCCTGCCAGAGGCTGGTTCACAGATTGTGGAAGCAGAGAGTGACCTTCATCTTATCTAGTCCAACTCTCTTATTTTGGAAGCTAAGTCTTGGAATGAGGAAGAGATTTGGCTTCAAATGTCAGCTAGCCAAAGACTGGTCCTAAGATAATTGAAATATAAATAATGCAATGATCATCTGCCCACCCAGCATTCCCTCACGCAGCACCAAGCTCTAGCTTTTGATGAAGAAGCCAAGACCCAGAGAGGTGGCATCATTTACCCTGATGGTATCATATGACTAGCACAATTCAGGAAACCAAGGGCTATTGTGATAACCTTTTTCTCCATCTTTCCCTTCCTTCTTTCCTTCTCTCCCTTCCCTTCCCTTCCCTTTCCATCTCTTCCTTCCTTCTCCATTTTCCTTCCCTCCCTCCAACCTTCTTTCTCTCTCTTCCTTTCTTTCTCTTCTTCCTTCCTTCTTTCCTTTCTTTATTTACAAAGAAAAGGTGTTTTTTTTCCATCCCACAAGTTGGAAGAAAAAAAGTTTAACATTTCAAAAACATTCATACTCAAGAATTGTTGAAGACATCTGGACCTTTTAAAAAGTTATTGCAATTTTAATAAATAGGATATATTTTAAAATATGTGAAAATGACATTCCATTTAGTTAAGATCAGTAACTTGTTAAATTGCCTTTAAGATCATTTCCCTATTATGATATTTTTAACCAAGGTAAATTTCTAAGGGTTTGGTTATATTATTTCCACATGGTTCTCCATAATCACATATATTTGATGCTTTCTAAGGCCTTCATAAATATCACTGAAAATATTTGTTCCTTTTTGTATTCTAACTGTAGCCCATATTCAGCAGACATGTACAAACACACATTTAAGGAAGAGGATGAGGAGTGAGGAAACTAAGACCCTAATGTCACACAGCGGAGCTGAAACAATTCCAGGACTGAGGATGCGCCAGACCTCATCCAGGTGTGCAGGTAGGAAGGTATGTCTGGCCACCACTCCAAGAGGCTTGCAAACTGAATAAAGGAAGGAAGCAGCTATCCCAGGTGCTGTGAACCTGTCAAGAACGGTGAGGAGTTAGAAAGCCGAGGCAAGTCAGTTCCACTGATGGCAGCAGGAGGGTGGCCAGGAGGAAACACTCAGAGGTCCATGCAGGAGATTTGCCAGAACCTTAAAACAAGTAGGCATCGGAAAAGGGCAATGCAGGCAGCAGGAGCCACATGATGGAAGGCTTGGTGGCACTGAAGAATGTCATGTGTCTCCTGTACAGGACAGGTGCCTAAGATACAGGGACAGGGGAAGGGATGAGGCATGGGGAGACTGAGACACTGATATTACATACCTGAGCTGACACTCAATTCCAGCACTCAGATCCCCTGGCCATTCTGTTTCTTTAGCAAACCAAAATGTCCTGATCAGTCTGCACCCTATTTCCCTGTAATCTGCACCCACAGGGGTCTCTAAGGAGCAGATGGTTAGGATGGGTCATTACTGAATCCCTGCCTGACCTAGCAGGTCCATTGCCAACCACCAGGCTCCCAGTCAATGAGCATGTCCCTACTACTCCCCTTGCTTCAGAATAGTGCAAGACTATTTTCAAAACCTGTCAGCTCTGACAGTCTCAGCTCCAGGATTCAGAAGTCAATGCAAGCCGGGTGCTATGGCTTATGCCTGTAATTCCAGCACTTTGGGAGGCTGAGGTGGGCAGATCCCTTGGAAAAGGAGGTTGAGACCAGCTTCAACAACATGGAAAAAACTTGTCTCTATTAAATTAAACATAAAAATAAAATTTACAAATTTTAAAAAGTCAACACAAATGTAAACTTTATCCTCCGTGAGCTGGGCAGGTGGCCAGCTTGCCAGCCAGCTGCTCAGCCTGGCACCAATGGCTTATCCTGCACCAGTGCTTGGCATGGGTCAGGAGGACAGTTTGGGAAGAGTCTCCAGCAGACCGGCATGCCTGGTCTGACAGATGACTTCCCAACCCCGTGCCAGTGGGAAACCAACAGAGACAGGTGGCCAGGGTGGAGAGCCTGGTAGGCAGAGCAGGTGGCCTGGGCACAGCAGGTCTGGGCAAGTCATGTCTGGGCATTGTTCTGGGGACTGTCGGGATGCTGGAGTGAGGGAAGGGAACACAGGCATGAATGTGCTCAGTGCACGATGGGGGAGGTTCTGATGGGGGCAGGGGTGTTGTTGGATCAGGCCAACTTTGCAGAGCCCTGGGATTGCTGCCTGCAGACTGGATAAGTGACATGCAAGGCAATAGCCAGTGCCCAGGTTGCCCGCCCTGAAATGCAGCTGCAGGAAGGATGGTCCACCAGGCAGGAGGAAAGGGGCTGAGTGACAGAAATTTACCTGTCAGAGGATAAGGAGGCAGGGGCAGTGAAGAAGGTAAGTCCTGATGGGAAGGGATGCCATATCCAAGTTCTGACATTGACTCCCTGAGTGATCCCGGGCATGTCCTTCTCCTCTCTGAGCCTCAGTTTTCTTGGAAACATAATGGGGATAACTGTTACTGGTTCTGCCTTACCAGTAAGAATCTTATGAAAAGACAAAATAATGAGCCAGATAATGGATGTTCCAGGGCTTGTAAAGGGTCAAGGCTGGACTGAGCCCCTGCCACCCTTGGCCTCATGGAGTCCCAGCCTGTGGTCACTTCACAATTTCTCTGACAGGATTGAGTGGAGGCAATACATTATGGAGGAATGTGTGTGGCCGTGGCCTATTTTGAAGCTGTATTTCCATACCGCTCATCAGGAAAAACTGGGACAGACTTTAAAATGGGCAAAACATGATCACTAGATGTTCTTCTAGAGCATCCTTTTGGGTTATCTGCTCTTTTCACTGTTTTCAAGCTGTCTTGCAATTTTACACATTGTAGAAAACTGATAGCAATGCAAATAATTCCAGTCCATAGAAGTACGAATAAATTTTGCCCACTGGAGATGCAATCGCTTATTGCTCTGGGGATATTGATGACGTTTGTGTCTATTTCAACATTCTGGATTGCCTACATGTGTAGTTCTGTGAATTCTCCTTTGAAAGCTGTAACAGCTGATGGATCCCCTCATTTACTGAGTTAAATGAAGTGTTTGACACATGTTCATTTTATATTTATACTTGAATCATTGCATTCATTTTCTATTGCTGCATAACCAATGACCACACATTTATCAGCCTAAAGCAATATTCATTTGCTAGTTCTTGGTTCTGTAGGTCAGAAGCCTGAGTGTGGGATGACCATATCCTCTGCCTGGGTCAGCTGAACTCAAGGAGTCAACCAGGCTGCACTCCATTCTGGAGTGTCTGAGGGAAGAATCCACTTCTGAGCTCATTCAGGTTGTTGGCCAAATTCAGCTCTTGGAGGTTGCAGGGCATTTCCTTTCCTCTAAGCCCACAAAGCAACCTCTATTCTCTCCTTAACAACCAACTCAACTATCGGGTCTTTTGGGGAACCTTCCTTCAGCAGCATCACAGCGCAGCAGTGGAAAGAAAATGGGCTTTGAAGTTATTAGAATTTTGCTTCTGCCATCTCCAAGCTGTGCAGCCTTGGGCAAATTATATAACCTCCCTGAGCCTTTGTTTCCTCACCTGTAAACTAAGTATAATGCAACCTTCGATGGTAAGGCCTATCTTACTGACTCATACACAGGATAATAAAAGCAGCGACCACGTACGGTGTGCTTGCCATGTGCCGGACACTGCTAGGCGCTTTACATGCATCTTTTACTTAATCTGCCTAACAACCCAGTAAAGGAAATTCTGTTACTACTCCACTCTGCTGATGAGAAAACTGAGATTTAAATAAGTGAGCCCAGTCTTATCTGTTGCCAAATCCTGTGCTCTTGATCATTATGACATATTGCTTCCTAAAAGATACTCAAGAAATTGGCATCCCCTGTCCCTCTCCCTTCTCCATCATGCCCACCTCTGGACTATCATCATGCTTTCTCTTTCCATGTGTCCCCATAACCCTTGTACACCCCAATGCCTCTCTAATGCCATGTAAGACACAGTATCAGATTTTTCCCTGTGTTTCTCTTTCTCCAAGCCCCCAGCATCGGGTCTGACACAGAGCAGGGATAGAGTACCACAATTCAAGTGAATTCATGAATTATCTTGAGTCCTTTTAGGAAGTGACCAGGGTATAATTTATAAAATAAAATGATTATTAACCTACATAAATAAAAGAAGACTGTCCCTTCCCCTCCATTCCCTTTCCCGCATGCACTCTCAGCTGAGCTGATAGGCCCCAGAGGAATTCAGCAGCAGACAGATAAAAACATCAAGGCCTGTTCCAGCTTCACGCCAGACTCTGGAATTTAATTTAACTTATACAGACATCGGTGTTGACGCTCTTGGGGGCTCCTGGCGCAGCCTCCCAGAATAGCTGGTAACAACTGTGATGGGTTCGCCTTCACACCTCAGATGGAATCACGGGGGAATTCCACAAAGGCAGGGCCCTGAAAATCACTTTACAGGAAGAGTCTCGTCCAGTCCCAGGACCTCAGTTTCAGAAGGAACTGCTGGGATCATGCACTTACTCCCCTTTGTTTTTAAAACAGCAAAAATGAGGCCCAGGGATTTCCCCAGTGTCATAGGACTTCCAAGTTTGGATGAGCAGCATTAAAAATGTAAACAGCAGCAGCATTTTATAGCTTGAGGTGTGCAGTTCTCCTACATAAGAGCCTGCCTTTCCTCTTCACCATGTGTTCTGTGATTAGTGTACACTGTCACCAGCAAAGAGCAGACACGGAGTAGTGAAAGTGGCCCAGTCACAGGGCATGTGGTTTACATGAGATCCAGATCACCATCTGAACTCCCCACTTTGTTATTTTTATATTAAATTCTGACTTTTTATATTAAGCTGTGACTATTTTTATATTAAACTATGACTCTTCCATATTAAACTCTGATTCTGAAAGCAGATAATTCAGGGACAAAAACAGCTTTTAAAGTGAAACCAATATAGAACACATTTCTTGTGATCTTTTTAATAATTTCCTATTGCCAGCTGAATTTAACCCCGATCTTACTCCACATAGCGATTGAAATTGGAGTTTTGATTCACCATGTGTTTTGCTTTGTATGCCAAATCACCTTGGAGCTTTTCCCTCAACCTCGATCTTGGAATTACATTTTCTATGTTTGCTTATTTTACAGCACACTGAACTCTGTCGATTCAATACAATTTAAACATGTGCTTATTTACGGAGCCCTTATCATCACCAGGGCTCTAGGGCAAGTGACTTCTTGAGAAGGATCTACCCCCGTGAATAAGATGCAGCCCAGGCCCTCAAGTAACTCCTGATTAACTACAGAGTAAAATCATTAGCTGGTCATTAAAAAACAAGGTGGTAAAATAAAAACAAGTCTGGAAATAATACATGACAAGGTTTAACTACCTAAATATTTGAAATGTCTCTGAAGCAAAAGACATTATAATTAAAAACTAAAGTACAAATGACAAATTGAGGGAAAACATTTTCAACATTTATTATGTACAAAAGGTCAATAGTGTTCATGTATAAAGAACTTTCTACAACTCAATAAAAAAAAACAACCCAGTAGTAAATGTGCAGAAGACTTGGACTAGAAATTCACTTAAAAGAAAGATACAGTGCTCAAACAAAGAAGTACAGATTAAAATGACAAAAATAAGCTGGGTGCAATGGCTCATGCCTGTAATCCCAGCACTTTGGGAGGCCAAGGCGGGCAGCTCACTTGAGGTCAGCAGTTTGAGACCAGCCTGGCCCACATGGTAGAACCCTGTCTCTACTAAAAATATAAAAAGATTAGCCAGGCATGATGGCTCAGGCCTCTAATCCCAGTTACTTGGGAGGCTGAGGCAGGAGAATTGCTTGAACCCAGAAGGCAGAGTTTGCAGTGAGCTGGGATGGCGCCACTGCCCTCCAGCCTGGGTGGCAGAGTAGGACTCTGTCTCAAAAACAAATAAATAAAATTTAAAAAATAATTATAAAATGACAAAAATACATTTTTACCTATCAGATTGGCAAAACACTTTTAAATATTAATAAAGCTTAATGTTGGTGAGATAGTAGGGAAATATATTCCCAGTCACCAGTTGGAGACAGGGTAAATTGGGAGAAGGTTTTAAAGGCAATTCGGCAGAATCCATCAAGGATTAAAATGTGAATCTCCATTGACCCAGGCATTTCACCTCTAGTAATTTATTCTGCAGATTTTTCATTCAGCTGCACAAAGATACATGCCCAAGTTTGTTCACTGCAGCTGTTTATACAGTGGGAAATTTGAACATTATATATATATATAATTTGAGACATTATATATGTATAAAACTTGAAACATAGATTTGTAAAATGAATTAAGATATAGGCATAAAACATATTATACATGTGTTAAAATTGATATAAAAATATATTCAGTGGAAAAAAGCAAGGACTGGCTTTTTATATAATATATTCACAATAGTACAAAACAATCAAAATGTAAGTATACGTATACCTATAGATGTCTATACATTTAACAGGTCTGAAAGGACCTATACTACTCTATTACAGTGATTGAGGAACTGAGATCTTAAATGACTTTCAAAATTTATTATACATACTTTTTCTGTTTGAATTATTTGTCATTATAAAAATTTAAAAGAATATAATTTAACTCCTTTTGCTGATTCCTGTCCCCCAAGCCTCTTCCTAAGTGCCATTTGGGTTGCCATGTCAATTTGCCATGCAAAGACCTGTGAACATCGGACTCCGGTCCACACGAAGACTCCCAGCTCTCTAGCTTGGGTGAT